CATCACTAGATTATTGGCAATCAAACAATTCCTTGCCTTGTGTACTTTGTAGAACAGACTACACGAGGAACGTTGTACACGTCTATCACGACGCACACATTGAGATAATTTCGTGGCACTTGTATGTCACCCATCTTAATCCAGGTTATTATAAGCAGGAAGGGAAATGACAACATGTAGACTCTAGGGACTTAAGAAAAAAGAGCACATAGAGTAAATGCAGCCCTGGGCGTTCTTATTTTACATAATAGCGATTTCGGAGAAAAATGTAGTCTATACAGAAACAATTGACCTTTTTACCACCACAATTATGATAGTTTCTATAGATGTTCAAAAAGCTAATATGTAGACAATTCAATAGTTGATTTACTCTTTTAGCTTTCATTTGTTCTTCATTGTATTTAAATTAATTTTGTAGCTTTTGATTTTATATGTAATACCATTTGCAAAGAGCGTTGAAGCGTAAGTAAATGCACAAGAATCCGATATCACCATATTGCAGTAGTTGAGACGGTTGAGACTATTGAGTTGTGTTTTTTCTTTGAGAGGGAATGTGACGTTCGTGCATGTGGCTTCATTCTGCCTAGTACTAAAATTCCGAACACTACTAAAATCACTATTACCTGTGCTAGTTCAGTTTGTCTATATATAAATGCCCAATTACGTCATGCTGAGGTGATATTTATTGTTTAACCTTTTTGTTATGTTAGAACAAATATTAGGCTGTTTTGATCTAGAATCTTAATTGTCCTTAATATTTTTTCCGTATCTTGGTACTTGTGTTCTTAATAACTTGTTCTTATGTAAAATTTACTGAACTTTTTAAAATGGATGGGTTTTAGACATAAATAAATCTTCATAAATTAACAATTTTAAAGAAATTATTATTATTATTATTATTATTATTATTATTATTATTATTATTATTATTATTATTCCCAGTTGTGAGTGGTTCTTAAGGTTGTCCAGTGGAGAAGATCAGGCTGTAGCGTCCGCGACGGCCTGGTCACTTTAACCGTCCCTCACAGATGCTTGTCATTAACAAGACAGACAGTAAAGTTGGCTGCTCGTTAATATCAAACGGGAAAAGAAGTACAACCTCACTGAACTGGCCCTTATTGTCAACCTTAAATACAACGTGAATACAACGAGCTCCAGGGTGTGCGGGCGCTACAATTTACACCGAGGAGCAATTTGTTTTGTTTGACACATTTTAAACACCAATGAATGTGGTGAACAAATGCTCGTATTTATCGTTTTTAAATGACAGGGACAGTGACGCTGTCATTGCTCTGGGGAAGTTTTGAAGATGTGAGTGGTGACGACCCATAATTATCTACTACAGCCTATCTCTTTAAACAGGCAAGCTCCGAAGCATAGTTAAAAGTCCCGTTATTTCTTAGCTTGGCTTAGCTGAGGGGTAACATGCTTAGCTTTTGTTCTCAGTTTTGTTGAAGTGTGGTAATTTATTCGCTTACGAGGAGAAAATAGAACGTAAGGAACACATAAAAAGGATATATTGTGCGTAAAAAAAGAGAAAATTTTAATTCACCAAAATCAAATAAATTGTCCCTTGCATTTAACATACTGACTCTTCTCTTTTGGATGATATCAATAAAAACAATATAAACAAAATTAATGCTTCTGCTTAATGTACCGTGCAAAGGTTATGTACAAAGGTTATGAATCTGGATGATCCACGGAGAAATTAAGTGGTGATTTTATTTAAGATAATTCTAGTGGTCAGAGATCCGCACGAGCGGATACTTAACAGTTTCCGTCGTAATAAATTACGAACGCTTGACGCGCGACGATCCTTTATCTAAAAAATTATCAATTAGATATCTAGACTTCATTTTTGACCAATATTTTATGTTTGTTTACTGGGCATGGGACAAATTATCTTCCTTTCAAATCACTGAGATTTTCATAACATATTTAATGACATCATTAAAAAATATGAGTATAATTATTTAAAAAAAAAGGGGAGGCCAAGTATCAGCCACGGTCTGGCGCGATTGATAATCGTGCCAGATAAAAACTTCTCTCGTCGCTCATCCATTCTTGACCGCTGTTGACGCCCTTTGTTTCACTGATATATCTTCCCGTTTTTTATGATTTTCCCCAAAATTTTAACCGCAAAATTTACCACACCTGCATCAAATACCGGCAGCGCGTTCCGGTTTTTATCTGGCGTCGTATAAAACACCGTGACATTAACAACATAGCTGCCATCGGAAAAAAGATGCATTCAACATGATTTGTAAAGTTACTTTTAGCTAACAATGATAGGTTTAAATTAGCATTCTGTTCTATGTTGAGGTGATCTTGTTCAATGAAGCTAAAAAAAACAATTGCATGGTCTAGCTTTACCTATCATTAGTTAAACTGATAAAAATGGCCAAAAGGACAAAATGCTCTGCAGCTTTTCTAAATGTCGTGCCATTAGAGTATCCCATTAATTTTTTACGTTTATTCGTAAATTATACCATTAAATTATTAAAGCATCAGTCACTCACTACGCCTGCATTGTGACTGTTTCATCTTAGTGTCAGCCGGCATCACATAAATTTCCACTTATCACATTAAACGTTTTCTGTTTCTTATAGACCCTATTCCCATAGACACGATCGGTCTACGTGGCTCCACCCTACTCTGCGGGGACACTCGCCGAGTGCAATCAGCTTAACTGAATGACACATCTCTTCTTGTTTCAACGCATTCGCATATAATCACCAGGGCCCAGTTTTATAAAGGACGTTTAGCACTAACCAGTGGATAAATTCTCCTAACACCCATTAACTAAAAGATGGTTAAATTGTGTTTCATACACAGTGTTCAAATAGCCAATTAGTTAACTGGCCAGTGTTTAACTGGATAAAATAATTATTTAAAGGTAAATTAAGCAACGGTCTGTTTAAACACTGTTTATGAAACACAATTTCATCCGTCGTTTAGTTAACGGGGTTTAGTAGAATTTATCCACTGGTTAAAGTCAAACACTGGTTAGTGCCAAACGTCCTTTATAAAACTGGGCCCAGCTTTTCTGTATTCTGACTAACGCAAGGAGGTGGCACGATAATCCATTAAACTGATTTCATTCAGCGTGAGTGTCCGCGGAGTTGGGTCGATCCACGTGGACCGATGGGGTCGGATGGGAATGTGGCCTTGATGTAAAATGTGACCATATTCTATCAGTGATGAAAGTCTTTGAAATCTCATGATTAACTCAAGATCGAGGGTGTATATTGGCCCTTAAAGCATTAATTGGTATGCGCAAGGATCGGTCCCCGTGTCGGTCACGACTTTAAAAAGGTTTAGATAATCTCAAACGCAACTAGCCTTTAAAGCGGTCAGCGTATTGCGTAAACACGGATGTCTTAAATTCTCATATGAATTATTATTTTTGATGACATAAATGTTATAAGCGCACACCACAGAAAACATTTGCGCTAAGTGTATTAAATAGATGGTGTCGATACGTTGCGAATGAAAGAACTATTCATTTTTGAAGTTGACTATGCCTTTCCCTTTAATGTCTTAGACATATAAAACAACTCATAATAGCTATTACACATATCTTTATCTGTAGATTCAGTATTTTCAGTCATTATGAGAGTAATCCTGTCGCACCGCGCCCACCCTCCAAACTAACATATTTATGAAATCGATATAGGGACATTTGACAGTACAATACACGTAGCCGCCAAGTGAAAAAATGTCAATGTTGACATAAAACAGGGGTTTGTACACAATGCTTCCTACGTGGCGCTCCATCATTGTGTGTTGGTCAAGTTCATTGGCTGGGGCTTGGGCAATTGGAATTCATATTGATATCATTGCTTTATACTATAACAGAAAGTCCAAGTATTTTATTTATTTATTTTATTTTTATTTATTTTTTTTTTTGTAATTCACGTCACGCCGAAGTCGAACTCCTGTGTAATTTGTATAGGCCTATTTATTGGGGGTTATTCCTTGTTTGTATTCTAGAGCTGACTGGCTGAATGAAACAACATGCACCCACCCCACACAGAAATGTCTAGGCCATACATTTGTTTAGTTGGCTGTGCATATCGACATTTTCATTGGTTACTTTCTTTTGGGAGCATGGTCATTTTGATGTTATACTGTAAATGAAATGGCCAAAAGACTTTTTGCGTAATTCAGTTTGAATATCAATTCAAGTTGTACGTGCCATTTGCAAAGGCCTTTGTTTGATAGAGGGTGTGGCAGCTCTTTTGCAAAGCATATCAAATAATTATGAATACAGCGTTATTATTGTTTTGGTATGTTAAAATTTCTCTAAGTGTAAATAAAAGAACTATACAAATATGCACATTTCCTAACAAAATCAATTGAAATTGATTTGGCCTAGGTTTTGCATTGTGATTTTACTCATATGCTTGTTACATGTAGTTTGACAATCTCCTTTCACTTTCTTAAATCCTTTGCTTCAAAAATGACCCCTTTTCCCCTAAATTTTAACTCCGTGCTTATTCACGAGACGTGAAACGTTACTTTTTTCAAACGCCCTCTAGCGGCGTAAAACAATCAATTGAGATTTACGACAATGATCCTTAGCGAGTCACGGCAGCGGAATGAAACACCAAGTGGGCAGATTGGCTTATGAACGCTTGACTGACAGGTTAGAGAATAGCCCACTTAAACTGACAGAAATAAGTACTGTGCGAGAACGCCCGTATGGTTCAGTCAGCCTAGCGAATCCGACACACTAACATAAAATCGGTGTACATGTAAAATAGCTGCAAGGGAGAGGTGGGGCGAGAGTGAATACGTTACGTTCTAGCGTTAACCTGTTACCCATACTGAAGTGAGACGTGATTAAGGCGACAGTCGCCTTGGACTGAAGGGTCCCGACGGATGTATTGATCGGGAGTGTGTACAAACACGGACAATGTGGACACACTGTATAAACTGTATAAAGAGAGGGAAAGTCACAACAATGTCTTGGAGGGGGACTACGACAAGGTGGATATCTACCAGTACACGTGTGACTATGATTTTCTTGTTACTTACCACGGCGTTTCTCGCCGCGGACGCTAGAAAGAGCAAAGTGACGTTGGTTAATAACGGTTACAAAGGCCTCGTGGTGGGAATACACAGAGATGTGACGGAGAATCCAGAGATTGTCAACAAGATTAAGGTAAGATCCACTCAGTTGACAGAACAGGTATTCCCTATATACCACACCCTAGTCCTTGTACTGAGTATACACATGTGATTTTTAATATCTAAGGGATACACCCTAATAGCAACAATTGAGAATCAGTTAATAGCGTTTCCATTTTTGATGTGACTAGATAAAATTTTCAAAATATGCATCAAGTCACAGTCTACCGTATTTATCTGACAATAATATCTTACCCTAAGGGCATAAGTATTGCTTTGCCATTAAAATGGACGACCTACAATAAGATGGTGGCTGAACCCATTCTTGGCCATCTGAATAAAACATACGAGCCAATGTGGCCATTTCAATACCAATAACATCGATCAGCTGATTGCCTTTGGTCAAATTAACGGCTATTACTTTTAACTGGCCACAGATTTCGTGTACAAGCAGAGTGCCAATGGTAGTTTTTACAAAGTGGCTGTGACCTCCTGTCCAGGCGTGTTTTTTATTCCCTGTGATAAAAGAAAAAAAAGGCGAAAAAGTGACACAAATAAAATGTGAGATCTTTTTTAACTTTGCTTGATCTGTAAGCCCTTTTAAACAACAACTTCAGTAGTAGCAACGTACGTGGTAACTTGTTCGAATCACGAAAGATCTAAGTACATGTGCCATATACCATATTTGCAAATTGTTGGAGAAAAAAATAACGAAGCAGAAGGGTCACTGTTAGAGACGAGAGATAAAACCCGGATATTCAGTATTAATTATTCGCATCATCTTTTCGACTCTGAGAATTGCCTATGTGAAGTACACGCAAATATTTGCTATAGGTATCCCATACTACAAAAATGGGTTGTTGACAAAATATTCCGCCAGCTACGATGATATATCGTTCGTGATGTTATCAGCAATCTCACGTTATGGCACCTGAAAACACGGGAATGCATAGTTTCAAATACGTACAATACAAATAACTGCAGATTATTATACAGGGAAAGGAAATGGGAACTATCACATGCTAAATCTCGAGGTCCACCACAAAGGTACCAGCTATCTGGCTGTGTGTTGAGTGTGAAGTGGGCGGGGCCAGGCCCTTGGGGTGATGCCCCCCTCCTGATAACCACACATTTCCCTAGGCTCCATATAACACCGTACAACATGGGTGATTATAATGTCTTTAATAGTGATGGTGGGACGAACGTTTACGGTTTATTACAGGCTTCGGGTTGATAGAGGCGGAAGGAAAGACCCCCCTCCCCCATCTTCTTACCCCATCATCTTCCCTGTAGAGGACGTTGAAAAACATATATATATATATATATATATATATATATATATATATATATATATATATATATATATATATATATATATATTGGGTGATTATAATGTCTTTAATAGTGATGGTGGGACGAACGTTTACGGTTTATTACAGGCTTCGGGTTGATAGAGGCGGAAGGAAAGACCCCCCCTCCCCCATCTTCTTACCCCATCATCTTCCCTGTAGAGGACGTTGAAAAACATATATATATATATATATATATATATATATATATATATATATATATATATATTCTCAGGCATTTATGATATGTGTATGTGCACAAGCATCTACTCTACTCTACTCTCTCTCTCTCTCTCTCTCTCTCTCTCTCTCTCTCTCGCACACACATTCACACAAATGTTGTTTTTGGCTGAGTGAGATTTTATAATCCAGTATTTTAAAACTTGAAAACGCAATTCAAAAATACCCTGACATGTATGTAAAATCCATAACTAAAGCAAGGACCGCTTTGAAAATTAAATTTAATGTGAATTGATACGCATGACGGTTTTAACGGCTTGATCCTAAAAAACGTGGGCCACTTTCATCAATCAAAATTGAATTATTTTCTGACTGCGAAAAGTAAACACTGCAACGCCCTGTTGTTAGTTGTTCCTTATCAGAAAGCTTCCGCCTTCTCCCGTATCGGAATTTCTATTGGTTTAATTGATTTGGGAAAAGATTTGACCTGGTCAGCGATTTCATCCTGACATGAAGAAATGGTCATTTTTGAAGTATAGATTTATTTACACAAGAAAGATTATTGTCAATAGTTCAACAACAAGACCAGCTTGGACATGGTTTTATGTGTAGTAAACGTGATAAAAAGCACGCGACGTTAACAATGTTTTCTTTTTAAAGTGTGTATCGAATGCAAGCCCACATATGTCATTCCATCGACGACTCACCGTGATAGGTCTTCGGAATTTATACTATAATAATAATAGTAATGATAATAATTAAACATGTGCCCACAAACAAATTTGAGGGATAAGTTCAAGAAAGGCCTTTTTCGAACAAAAATTCGATAGGTACCACATGAAAGACATAAGAAAAGAAGATGATGACCGCCTTTCAGAGACACGGGTGTGGGGGGGTTAGGAAGTGGGACTTGGCCACTCCGCTTTCTCTCTCTCGAGCTATCGGTTGTCCCCTCTCAGACCACAAATCCTGACAGACAAAAAATAAGAAATAAAAACACTGGCCCTCGAATTTCCACCACACGACTGGGGTGATCTGGTGAACTTTCTACACACCCATTAATGACGGAAATGTCGGTATAACGTACCCTTTACCAGGGTGGCAGGTTATATAGGGAAAAATGGGGAAAACCAATGACCGTCTATTTATCTAAAGGCATATCTGTGAATATTCTGTGAAAAGTCAATCTGTGGCCCTGGTAGAGGGTGGGTATAACGTAAGAGAAGTGTACCAGTGTAATGCACAATGGGGGAAATACAGGCACGAAGAAAAATACCACTGGTCTGGGTCCTCATTGGGGTCTTTCCCTCTATAGCCCAGTTATACATGTATAAGCCTATACTGTGGCTGTAACCGTACCTTGTTCAAATTTGACCTCAACCTATCACCTTAACCGGCAAATCTATTCTTCTCCCAGAAAGAAAGAATAACACAATGAAAACCTCCTTTGTGCCACAGAATGTCTTGATTGAGAAGAATGGTCGCCTCTCAGTTCAATAAATTCACCTATTTTCTCCTTTTCGTATTCCGCCCACAGACGGTTTCTGTTTAAATTTGGATCACCTGCAAGACAACAATTGAATAATCATAATATTTCTCGTGTAATTATTACATTCGTTACAGAGTTGCGAGATCTAGATAACACTTGAGCGCAATGGTGCAAGAGAAATACACACGTTACTATAATGGCAGTTCTATATCGGTGGCATAAATGTAAACATTATTGCCATTTTGTGAATCCATTCAATTCCAGTACTGTGGGGTGAATATAAACGCAGTAGAGCATACACAGAGGTTTGGCATACCAGTAATAGAAACATAAGCCCGTATGTACGACACTTGAAATTAAGACGTTTGTATCACGTTTGTAGGATATCTTTCACTCTGTATCAGCGTGTCACGTTTTCCTTGTTTGGCCTTAATTTAAAACCTAAAGTGTTTCCCTGGGTTTGCCCAGCTACATTTACCCGTATACCCTTTACCAAGGCCACAGAAAGAGTATTTTCCACTACATATTCACAAATATTACCGTAGTTAATTATGCGCAGCGAGAATTTTTGCACAGAATTACACCAATGACGTCATCGCCCACCTGATAGAGAACAAGTACATTGTCCCTCTTCGTGCATAAAGTACCAGGAGAGACTTTAAAGCTAGTCCAAGTATCCTCACAATTGCCTATATACAGTATACTGCACTCAGTACAGAAACAAAAACCCCTTGTAATAAAACGATAATATTCAATTGTACAATTTGAATTTGGATGATACCAGTACATTTATAATACTAAAATTATAACAGTATAAGGGCATCAAATATTTTTTTTAAAATCATTTTCAAGAACAAGATAAAATTGAAATTTATCAATGCAGCTCCTAAAATCATAAATTTTCTTTAAAGATGGAATCACCCTGGGAATGAAAGATTTTGAGGATCTCGCAGTTCTAAGGTTTGGCATGTTAAATTTCTGGGAACTTTGTAGATTATAAAATTGTTCACCCTGTTTTGGTAAAATGCGTTTTATAATGTGGTCACAAATGTAGATTTTTGCAGCATTCTTTTATACACCTCAACCCGCCTACACTGTAGTAATACGATAATGCTTGTGGTATCTGTCATTTCTCTTATTTCTATCATTATTGTCATTTCTCGTCATACCTTCATTTAACAACCCAGACACATTGTGCAGGCATCCTGTAGCGCACATTTGGAGTATATTTGATACTCGAAATGACCATTATGATTTGGCCAGACAAAACATTTAACCACCCACCGAAATCCCATTGTGCACTGCTTAATGTGCCGGACAGGCTCTGCATTATGACATACATAATGTCACGGCTCGTCAAATATTTTGACGTACCCAAAATGTTTTACGTATTACATTCGTATTTATTTTGAATGACCATTGCTGGTCAAAATAGGAATACAAATAATTTTGGGCTCAAGTATAAAAGGAAACGCTTGTCCAAATACGACCGTTGGTTTTATTGTCGTGATATGACCCCTTGACCAGACTATTACAATACATACTCTTCCCGGTGTTTTTAAAACTTGTGTGTTAACAAAATCCGTTGACGGGGTAAGAAAACTTCATTACTAAATCAGCGTATAAGACTGAAATAGACACGGTGAATTTCAGTCAAACTTGGAAATGCTCTAATAAATTTAGCCGCTAACCGGGCGGACGCGCGGTTAATGTAATGACGGGGCGTGGTGTCCAAATTACACCCGATAAACGCCAACAATTGATCTCCTGACCCAACAAGACACGCCGAACAATGTATGGCATTGCCGTTTTTATCTTATCGTTTCACTTCATCATAATATGCTTTTAATAGAGAAGGTAGCGTTCTCTGCTGTACTCCTATCCCCAGTGGTACGGCGTCGCCTTGCCCTCGCATTCCTAAGTGTGAGTAATGACTGGTTAAATATGTGGCCTCGTGCACCTGTATCTGACGTCACACCCACCCCCTCAGGCACATAGTGAATACACGGTTAGTGG